TTCCACTTTATTATCGCTTTCTGGCCCACATGTGATAACGTCCTATGCATTGAAAAGAAGAGGAGGGAGCATAGAATGAGCCTTGTCCAAAGGCTCCCTCGAACCCAGAGCTTGTACTGTTCCTTCTTGGCATTGGATGCATTTATTTCTGATTACAGATTGAGTGTCCCTTATCCGAAATGCTTCGGACCAGAAATATTCTGGAGTCTGGATTTTGGAATATTTGCATATACATAATATCTTAAACACATAGGCTGAAGATAATTTTATAGACAATATTTTGTAATAATTTTGTGCACGAAACAAAGTTTGCGTACATTGAACCATCTGAAAGCAAAGGCGTCACTATCTTAGCCACCCATCAAAACAAGTTTTGGATTTTGGAGCATTTTGGATTTCTGAATTCCCGATAAGAGAGACTCATCCTGCATTTGCAAAGTCAAATTTGCAATTTTAGGAAATTACCTTTTTAAAAATGGAGATGGGAAACTAGGAGAGGGATTTTGACGCTTTATGTCTCTCGAAGTTGTGACCAGAAGTAATTTTTCAAGCTCTGGTTTCAGATAAATATTTTTTAAAAGAGTTTGCTGGGAGAAGTTGGAGGATGTGCATAAAGGCAAACCATGGCTCCCAAAGCAGTGGCTTGCCATTTGGGGTGACTGGAAGAGTCTGTGGAGAACACAAGGGTGATGGGATACATTTCTCTTTGTCCGCTGGAAACAGTCACGTATAGCCAGCTAGTCCATTTTCTCCCTTCCATTCAAATCCACTCATTTCTGCAACACTTTTTCAGTACAGAAGTATAAGATTGGACTGTGGAAACTGCTGGTCATGCTCTGGCTAAAGCTAGAGTCAAAGATAAGAAGTGTTTTCAGGAAGAGAGTTTACTTGCTCACCCATCTAGGAATTTTACTTTTTAGATACAAACAGTGTGTGGCTGATCTTTCCAAGCTGTGCTTTACTCCAGGGGATGGGATGTGTGTATGTGAATACACACACACACACATATATTCCATCCTGAAAAGAAATGAAGGGAGAGAGAGAGATGAGGCTGTAATTTATTTTTGCACACTTAAAAAAATAAATCTATTAATAGTGGAGAACTCCCAACTATTGTGCTGAACAATTTCATACCCCAGTAGATGTGGAATTTCAAGACTGCTCCCATACCAGTTGATCATGGAACTTTTATTTATTTATTTATTTATTTATTTATTTATTATCATCATCATGGAACTACAGCTTGAGAATTTGTTGGAAAGTACCTAGATTTTTCTCAGTGGCCAGTTTACAATGTTTTAACTTGAATTGTTGTTGTTGTTGTTAACTGCCTTCAAGTCAGCT